AAGTGGGGCAAGATGACCAAGATGACTGTTCCGGTTGCCCCCTTTGTGCTTCCCGATTCCTGGCACACTGTACTGCTACGACCACGACGGCGTTGACGACTACTACTGCTACTGATAAGACGACGACGACGACCGCAGCAGCAGCAGCAACAACGACACCAGCAGCAGCAGCAAACACAACAACAGCAACAGCTACTTACAAATTAATGAGAAGAAGGTGAAGAAAGGTAGTATTCGCAGTTTTTGCATATTGGGTTCTCTTTTGGTGTTCCCTTTACATTAGGGGTTCAGTCAAACAGGATTTGGGCCTTCATCTTCTGGATGCCCGTAATGCTTCTTGCGTTCATTTTCAGGAGGTGTCAATTCTGCTGCTACTGCGGGTCAGTTTTAGTAGAAGCTCTGCCATTCCTGTCAGTATAGTTGCTATGAGGCCGTAGGTTTGCCCTGCGCAAGACCAAGGATTAGCTTGAATTCTTGCATCAACGCATGCAAGAACGAGGGGCAGTGGGAACTGGCCCTGCACCTACTGGGGCAGTTTCCGTGCTATGGGATTGTGCCCGATGAGATTACATACACGGCCTGCATGGGTGCCTGCGAGTTTGGAGGACAGTTTCAGAAGGCCCTGGACCTGTTCCTGGGTTGCTGTTAAGGACCATCATGTAGATAAATAGCAAATAATAAGGACTCCTACTATATTATAGTTTAAGTCCCTGAACAGCAACCAAGGTTCTTTCTCATGCATCGCACCATTCCCGACCGTGTCATGCTCAATGCTGGAATTAGCCTGTTTGGAAGATCTGGGCAGTGGCAGCTCGCCTGTGATCTGCTGCTGCGGATGCCTGCGTTGAGGGCGACGCTTCTCACGCAGGACTTCAATGCAGCAATCGCCGCATGCGCAATAGGCCACGAATGGAAGTCCGCTCTTCAGCTGCTTGCAGACATGCCATCGGCACAGAGTGAGCCTGACGACATTTCGCTCGCATCCGCCATCACAGCATGCGGCAGAAGTCGGATGTGGCAAACAAGCCTGGGCCTTTTTTCAGAGCTGATCTCCCGCGGCTTCCAGCCCAGGCAAGACACCTACAACCAGGCAGGTAGCTGTCGAAATCAGTACGCCGAATTATGGAAGCAACAGCATCATGGAATCAAGTAGTACTTGTAGTGGTACAGTGGTGTCGTAGTCCCTGAACTAGTGGTGGTGGCAGTCGTCGTAGTAGTAGTAGTAGTAGTAGTAGTAGTAGTAGTATAGTAGTAGTAGTCGTCGTCGTCGTCGTCGTCGTCGTCGTTGTCGCCTGTGCTTGTAACAACCTTCGCCCTTCAAGTTTATGGGTATCAGGGCACCTGAAACCTTGAACCCCAAAACCTTGTCGATGCTTCAGGGCAAGGGTCTTAAGCTACTTAAGCTACCAGAATAGAGTTCTATAGTACATAGTAGGGATTTCTTCATATTATGGCAGCCTAAATCAAATTCCGTAACAATAGGGTTTAGGGTTTAGGGTTTAGGGTTTAGGGTTTAGAAGACAAGCTCCCAGGTCTTGGATGCTGTTTGCACAGAGAGCCGTGGCTGACATTCTTGGCTGTGCCAAGAGGGCCGGGGCCAAACTGGGTTCTGCGGCTCCGTGTTCTGTTTAGGGCTCAGGATTTAGTGGCTAGATGTCAATAGGGTTTTCGTGTGTTGTGCATCTTAAGACGCCCCATAAAACTCTGAACCCCAAGTCCTAAATCCTAAACCCTGAGCCCTGAGAAGAGAGCGGAGGAAGATTAGCTTCGGCCTGTTTCGAGAAGCCTTGCGCCAGTCTGTTTGGCCGCTGATGACGACGGCAGATAGGCGATTGCACATGCCAAATCGGAAGATTTGGGTTTAGGGTTTAGGGCCAAGGCCGCTTCTGTCAAAACCGGGAACTCGGAATGCCCGGATCCAAGCGATGACTCCCCCAAACAAACCTGCCCCAGGACACCTAACGCTTCTTCAAACCGCCCAGTGCCCACTAGGTCAACCTCGGCGTCTTGGGTTGAATTACCTTGCAGAAAGCTGTGCGTCGGCAGGAGTGTTCTTGATGTCCACGAGCATTCCCCTGGTTCGGGAATGTTGGCGGTTCTTTGGTGGCTGGCTAAAGTGGTTCCTGATCTGCTGCGACCAAAAGGAAGGTCCAAATTCGTCGCTGCTCGACTTAAGCAGAGTTCCCTGAATGCTATGGGCACCTCAATCTTTCGAATAGGGTTTTGCGGTATACCGAATCGAGAATACTTATAAGAAGGAGCCCTCAGCCCTTAGCATAGTATTGCGAATTATTCCGGGCCTTGTATTACATTAACCGGCTAGCGTATCCCTAAGCCCTATAAGCCCTCATTATACGCATCTATACCAGACCCTAAACCCTAAACCCCAAACCTTAAACCCCTAAACCCCTGAATCCCCATTCCGGTTAAATCTCCCTGAACCCCATGCAAGCCCTAAAGCTAAACCCCTAAATCCCGATCCCAAATGCCCAACCCGAGACTGAAGGCTTGCGGCTCGTACTGCGAGGGGGCTCTGATGTGTAGTGTGTTTTCGTGGTTTTCGGGACCCCGAAACAGGGCCCGCGTGATGGCGCATTTTTCAACAGCGGTTGCAACACACGTCCAAACAACGGCCACCTTTTTACGCACAGTCTGCAAAGCGCCCACTTTGAGTCAACTTCCTCCAGCTGGTCAACCCCCTTGCCACCACATCAATGTTGAAGTCAAGGCACAGACATAGTTTGTTAACGGTTATATATAATTACATACACACCGTACATATACATATATACATGTAGGTAGACCATATATGTATATATACCGTACATATATATATATATATATACCATACATATATATGTATATATATATATATACACACCATATATATATATATATGTATATATACATGCACATATATATGTATATATATATATACATATATATATATATGCAATATACATATATACCTACCATATATATATATATATACACATGTATGTATATATATATATACACGTATGTGTATATATGTATATATATACACACATTCGTGTGTGTATATATCTATATATATATATATACATATGGTGCAGCATGTGCTCATTCCCGTACCGCTGTTGAAGTAGGGGTCCAGTGGCATGGGGAAGTCCACTCTATACGAGCACAGGCAAAGCACAGGTGTTCCTGCTGCATTAAAATAGGGCACAACATATAATAAGAGATATCTCCCTGTAGATGTCGACTTAAAGAAGGTGCTGGGCAAGTTGAGGTAGTAAAGAGAGATTCGACGTGTGCAGCCATGTAGACAGACAATACAACATCAAATCAAACCTACCGTGATTTACAGTACATTCGGCCTCTGCAAGCTTGCATGGAAGCCTCAAAACACCAGGTTTTTATCAGCACGTGACCTTGTTTTAGGCTCAGGGTTTTAGCCTTCATGGTTCTCTGGTTACTGCCTAGAACTCGTAACTGCCCTCTCTGTGTAGGGCCACCTTGTTTCCGCAGGTATTGGTATTGGTATGGTTCGAATTATGAGCACAACCCACAGCAAACCGCACACCATTCACAAAAACAACATCGCACGAGTGCTTGCATCATTCTTTCGCCAACATCAAAGACCCCAAACCCTCAACCCCGCAAACCTAAAGCCCGAAACCCTCCATTCCGTTTACACAACCTGAACCCTGAACCCTAACAGCTGTAAGGTAGTTCCTAAAATGGCCGGTTGATTCGGAAGCTGCTGGGTTTTAAACCAGAGAGCAGGTTCCAAAAAGCCGTGGGCCCTGTGGTTTCCAGCGGTGTCGGGTTTAGGGTTACTTGGAGGCCCAGGGGACTTAGTAAGTCGGTTATAAGTAGGGTTATAATTGGGGTAATTCCATTTAGGGTACTTATAACTCTACTTATAACCTACTTACTAAGTCCCCTGGGCCTCCAAGTAGGGACAATTGCCAGCGAGGTGGTGACGGGCTATCGGAAGCACAGCAGCTACTGGAGCAAGAGCGACATGACCGCCACCATTCAGAGCCGTGGCCGGCCTTTGCAATCGTTGCCCGTACTGCTGATGATAGAAATCCTCCAGTACCTTAAGGACCCTACAGGGAATTATGGTATATTCCTAATTATGGGTAGTG